CGCCGCCCCAGTGGATCGGCGCTGCCCCGATCGCGCATCCGCAGCCTCCTGGGCGGGGCGGGATGTCGGGCCCCTGCTGGCGATGAGTGGGCGATGGGGGCTCAACTGGCCATCGCTCGGACGTCCATTCCCTGTGTTTTTGTTCGGTTTCGTGCGTGGTTGTTTCGCCAAATGATCAAGGATGCTCCTCGATGGTCCTCGCCGAAGAAGAAATGCACACGTCCGAGCGATGCCAAGGCGAATGCGCCCCCCGGAACGCTGGATAGATCTGGGCCCCCTGGGGCCAAAGTGTATCCCCAGACGTGCGAGGTCCTGATTTTTCAAGGCGGCGTCCCCAGAAAACCCGACCCTTTCCCCGGAACTGGCGTTTTCGTCCCGAGACGTCTTTTTTGACGGCCCCGGGGCCCGGCGAGGGCCAGGGTCGAAAATATAACGAAAGACCGCCCGTCTTGATCTCTTTGGACGCGAGCGTGTCTGGGTCCATGTCCGCCGCCCGGCGAGGTCTCCGAGAATCGATCCTCCGGGCGGTGGCTATGCGCAAATCCCCGCCTCGGAGCTGCCCCCCCCCGTTGCCGACGTTTAGGTCGGGCACTCCCTCCGACAGGCGGATTTTGGACGATACTCTAAAACAAGAAATCCAACAATGCTCCAGAATATCAAAAAATAGATTTCGAAACTCATCCCCAGACTATTTTTTGACTGTTCTTGAATTTTCCTCCTGTAGAGGGACACGCCCGACTAAAGCAGCCGTGGGCCGGAGGGGTCTGCCACCGCGCGGACCTCTCACAGCCTTCGGGGGTCTTCTGACCTGGGTCAATCCAAACCCGGGTCAGTCAGGCCTTGCAGAATCCTGCAAAATCCTGCAAGATCCTGCACCCAAACCCGGGTCAATGCGAAGGATCCTGCAAGACCCTGCAGGATCCTGCACCCAAACCCGCGTCAATGCGACCCAGGCCCTGCAGGATCCTGCAAGACCTGGCGCTCTGGCTGACCCCCGTTTGCATCGACACCCATCTCAAGACTCCCGAAGCCTTGAGCGAACTTCGGCGCTGGGGACTTTCGGACTCGGACTCGGCTCCGCGCGCGCGGCACCGTTGAAGGCGCGGCGGGAGGGGGCGCGGAAGCGCCAGCGCGGAAGAGGTTGGCAACAAAAACGTGCGCGTGTGAAAATGATGCATGGGAAGCGTCAGGAGGAGGAGGAGGAGGAGGAGGAGGAGGAGGAGGAGGACGACGAGGACAGCGACGAGCAGCAGTCGGACGGGACAGTTCCTCCCTCTCCTGATGTCTCCGGGGGCCTCTGGAGGAGGAGGGGAGGAGGAGGAGGAGGAGGAGAGAGGAGGGGAGGAGGTGGAGGAGGAGGAGGAGGAGGAGGAGGAGGGGAAGGAGGAAGGAGAAGGAGGGAGGAGTAGGGGAAGGAGGAGGGGAAGGAGGGACGGGCGGCAACATCACTTCGTAAAGTAAGTGCCCTGGAGGTCGTTCCACACCGGTGCGGCAGCGATCTCTGGTGCCAGGGGCAGGTGGGTGGGTCGCCGTGGAGTCTCCAGAAAAATCCCCGGACGTTTTCGGAATCCGACGAAGGTCCGCAACGGCCAAAAGGCCAAGATGCCCAGATCCTCCTCCTCCTCCTCCTCCTCCTCCTCCTCCTCCACCCCTCCATGCCTCCCTCCTCCTCTATCTCCTCCTCCTCTCCTTCCTCCTCCTCTTCTCCTCCTCCCTCCTGCTCTTGCTCCTCCTGCTCCTGCTCCTGCTTCCTGCTCCCTCCTCCTCCTGCTCCTCCTTCTCCTCCTCCTGATCCTCCTCCTCCTCTTCGTTCTCCTTCTCCTCCTCCTCCTCCTCCTCCTCCTCCTCCTCCTCCTCCCGCTCCCCCTCATCCTCCTTCTTCCTCTTATCCTCCTCCTCGGGACCAAAGGCAGCCCGAACCAATCCTTCGCGCGGATTTCACGCCGAGGGGCCCTCTGTCTGGGCACCCCCAGGGCGCGAGGCGGGGCCCACGGAGCGTGGGCGCTCAGCGCTGAACGACAGCACCGTCGTCGCCGCAGCCGCATCTGGGGGCGCGTGCGCGAGGTAGGGGGTGGATATGGAAAAGGGTTGGAGGAGGAGGAGGAGGAGGAGGAGGAGGAGGAGGAGGAGGAGGAGGAGGAGGAGGCGGAGGCGCAGGAGGAAGAACAGGAGGAGAAGTAGAGAAGGTGGAGGTGGAGTTGAGGTGGAGGCGATGAAGGCGGAGGAGGAGGAGGAGGGAGGAGGAGGAGGAGGAGGATGAGGAGGAGAGGATCAGAGGAGGAGGATCAGGAGGAGGAGGAGGAGGAAGGAGGGAGGAGGAGAAAGGAGGAAGAAAGAGGAGGAGGAGGCTGCCCCTGGGAGGAGGCCCGCGGGATCCGGCAAGTTCAGCTGGTTGATGCACGTGTTCGCTGTCGGGAGGTGGTCGAGGTCCACGGCCACGCGGCTGACGACGAAGCCGAGAGCCTTCGGCCAGCAGGTCGGAAGGAGGAGGAGACGGAGGAGGAGCAGGAGGCGGAGGAGGAGCAGGAGGAGGAGCAGGAGGAGGAGGAGCAGGAGGAGCAGGAGGAGGAGGAGGAGGAGGA